CTCTGTAGCTCTGATGGCAGTACTATGGCTATGGTAATCTCTGCTATGGCGCTACCTGCAGCCCACCAGGGTCAGAAGCTGCCTGATTTGTTCAGGGGCAGATCCAGTAACCTGGAGCCATGGCATATCATTGCTCCTTCTCCCAAGCCACACTCTGAGAGCACTGCCAAACATCTGGTTTCACAGCTACAGGGCCAAAACGTGAAGTGGAGAAGCTAAAGACGCAGCTGACAAGGTTGGTCACTTTCTTCTGTGAACAGAAGTTAAAATTGTTTCTTCTCTTCCGGGATCAACCTAATAACCATTTACTGGATAAATGTGAGGTTAACAGACACTTCAGAAGTGCAGCGGTCCGGTTCATCCCAGACCTCAGTGGAGTTACAGCAGCAATAGTTTGGCTTGGTAGCTTCATCTTCCTGCAGTTTGCAATGTTGTGACACTGGTTAAAGTGTGATTTATGTGCTTTCTTTAGGACTGGGCGTCCAGTCCGTTTTATATTGGAGCGACATGATGATATGCTCATCGTTGGAAACCGGCACCCTTTCTTTGGAAAATATAAAGTGAGTGGGAAGGGGAGATAGATCACAGAACTATCTTGGGCAAGACCCTTGGGTGGTGTAAATCAGTACTGCTTTATTGAAGCTGATGGAGTCACCTCTGCTTGCACCAGTTAAGGCTCCTGGGCCTAGTTGTGTTGGTTTGGATTGTGTTGGTTTGAATTTGCGTTTTCATTTAGGTTGCTTTGATTGTTCTCTTCTAGATGTTGTTATAAATGAAAGAGACATTAAATCAGTGGGCACAAAAATGATGAAAATCCAAGAAGGAATAAATGCAAGCTAACAATAAGCTTTCTGAAGGATCCTTCTGCAAAATGTCTGCAGCATTTGCTTATGGTATTAACTTAATGAATCAGGTCAGAGGAAAATTACTAGTGGAGTTTTAATGAAGTTCCAGGGCCGGTCCTAAGAACACAGAAGCATAGGAACTGCCATTTACTGGGTCTGACCATAGGCCAATCTAACCCAGTAATCTGTAGCACCCAGTGGCAGAAGTGAGGGGGGTAGATAGAGTATGTCCAGAAGTGTCCACCCCCTGCTCTTCTTCCACTGCAGCTTCAACTTTTAGGGGTTTAGGAAGTTCTGATTCAGAGGTTGTACTCATGCTCTCAATACCTAGTGATGGGCATTTCCTCCATGAATTTGTCTGGCCCCCTGTTGAACGTGGGTAAACTATCAGACCCCCACAGCCTCTTTTGGCAATGAGTTCCACACGTTTATCACACACTGTGAAAAAACATCCTTTTGTTAGTTTTAGACCTGCTAACTAATAGTTCCATTGCATGTCCCCTAAGCCTAGTATTGTAAGAAAAAGTAAATAATAAATCCCTATTTACTTTCTCTGCACCAGTTACTATTTTGTAAACCTCTATCATGTTCCCACTCTATCATATTCCAATCCATCTCTTACATAAATGGAAAAGTGCTATCCTATTTAGTCTCTCCTCACTTGGATGTCCTTCTATACCCCTGGTCACCTGGGTTGCCCTTCTTTTTACCTTTTCTAGTTCTTTCTAGTTCTTTGGTATTTTTTTAGGTGGAAGGCATACAAAAACTGATGCAGGATTCAAATTGTAGATTCACCACAGATTTATAAAGGAGCATAATGATATTTTCTGTTTTGTTTACAGTTCCCTTATAAATAACATTTTATTTGCCTTTTTGACTGTTGCTGAATGCTGCGCTGATGTTTTAGTGAACCGTCTACAAACTCTACAATGCCAACGAAATCTCTTTCCTTATTTTTTCTCCAAAACAAGAAAACAAATACCTGATCGTGTATATATATTTTGTGTTACTTTCCCCCATGTGCATCACTTTACACAAATCAGTGTGGAATTTCATCTGCCATTTATTTCTCATTCCCTCAGTTTTACAAGTTTCTTCTGTAGCTCTTCACAGTCTGCTTTGATTTTATCACTCTGAATAACTGCATGTAATCTGCAAACTTAGCAAACCCACTAGTCACTTCTCTTTTCATTTATGAAAACAGCACAGGTCCAGCATAGATCCACGGGAAACTTCACTGTTATTTCGTTTCATTCTAAGAACTGTCCACGTTGCCCACCCTTTGTTCCTGTTTATGTTTTCATTAATGACGGTAGCACCTAAAGTGGAAGTGTGCTAATGAAACTTGCTGATGCCACAAAGCTGGAAGGCATCATCAATATACCAGAGGCCTGGACTATCACAGAAGACCAACAGATTACCAGGAGGTCTGCAATAGTAAAATGGCATGCAATGTAATATTACAAAAGTGCAAGTCAGTTAGGAATTAACAATGAACATTTCTGCTGTAAACTGAGAGCTCAGCAGTTGAAAATGACAGAGGAAGAGAAAGGCCTAGTATAGCAGTCAATCCCAGGATGATATGGACTATATCTACCCAGAAGAGTACAGAGTGAGCAAGCTCATTTATCAGAAGCAGTAACTTTGTTATTACAGTACTCTGCCTCAGGTATTTTAAGTTGTCAGTAGGGTAGATTAGCACAGGAGGAGCTAATAGTACAGGTCTCCTAGTTCACTTACAGCAGGTTCAAGCATCTCTATGTAGCACTGTGTTGTGCAGTGCAAATATATCTTGTGAGCCAGAAGTATGATGCAGCTATGAAAAAGGCAAATAAGATCCTCAGATACAGCCGCAGAGATATTTCCAGTAGAGATACGCATGTATTAGTGGCAATGTACAAGGCCCTGGTGACACCTCACCTGGAATATTTTTTACAAGTCTCATCAACTTGTTCAAGAAAGGTTAATCACATTTTTAATGGATGTGAAGAAAAGGCTACTAGAATTATTTGGGAACTTCAGAGTGAGTTTTCTGAGAGGAGAACACAAGAGCTTGGATTTTAGCCAAGCAAACAACAGCTGCGAGCGGATATGACTGCTCTCTGTAAGTGCCTCAAGAGGATAAACACAATAGTAGAAGTTATAATTTAAAGGGCAAGGTTGGCACAAAAGTCAGTGATGATAAACTGGCCAAGCATAAATTTATATTGGATATTAGAAAAATCTCCTAACAGTTAGAGGAGAAATATTCTGGAACAGGCTATATATAACACATTATTAACTGCTGTATATAACTCATATAAAACATATTATATTATACTGTTATAGTATATAACATAGCAGTATATTACATACATAATGAATCTGACTATATAATTATATAATACTAAAATTCATAGATTCATAGATTCATAGATTAAGGGTCGGAAGGGACCTAGTAGATCTTCTAGCCCGACCCCCCGCCAGGGTGGGAGAACAACAAAAAACCCCAAAAAGAGAAACGGGACTCAAACGAGTCCAGCCAGGTAGGCATCCAGCCTCTTCTTAAAGACCCCCAGGGTAGGGGCCAGCACCACTTCCCTTGGAAGTTGGTTCCAGCTCCTAGCCGCCCTAACCGTGAAGTAGTTTTTGCGGATGTCCA